CTCAGCCTTCCAAGTAGCTGGAATTACAGGCGCGCACTACCACGCCCGGCTAATTTTTTTATTTTATTGTAGAGATGAGGTCTCGCCTGCCCAGGCTAGTCTCGAACCCACAGGCTCAGGCAATCCACTCACCTCAGTCTCCCAAAGGCGCGGGATTACAGGCTGAGCCACCGAGCCCAGCACCTATATCCATTTTTAGTAAGTATTTACATCATGTCTGTGTGTACTGCAAATCACAGGTTTTTTTGTCAGGTGTCGCTCTGTCACCCAGGCTGGAGAACAGTGGAACAATTACAATGATTATGACAGTCACAGTTTACAGCAGTCTCAACCTCTTTGGCTCAGGCAATCCTTCCACCTCAGCATCCCGAGTAGCTGGGACTACAAGCATTCACCACCATGCCTGGCTAATTTTTAAATTTTTTGTAGAGTTAAGGTTTTTGCTATGTTGCCCAGGCTGGTCTCGAACTCCTGGGATTACAGGTGTGAACCACTGCACGTGGCCAAACAGCATTTCTTATAATAGCTCTGACAGTATATTCATCTGCTTTTTTAAAAATCAAAGTATTACTTTGTAGATGCTTTAAGTTTGTTGAAATAACAGAAATGAGTTGGATCAGGGAATCACTGGCATTTCCATTCTTTCAGGTGACAACTCTAGAAAAGTATCTAGGCATCAGGAACTGGCACAATCCTATCCACCCTTTAAAAATTAGAATTCTGGCCGGGCTCGGTGGCTCAGTCTGTAATCCCAGCACTTTTGGGAGGCCGAGGTGAGTGGATTGTCTGAGCCTGCAGGTGCAAGATCAGCACAGGCAACTTGACGAGACCTCATCTCTACAATAAAATAAAAAATAGCCAGGTATGGTAGTGTGCGTCTGTAGTTCTGGCTACTTGGAAGGCTGAGGCAGAAGGATCACTGGAGCCCAGAAGGTCGTCGCTGGGGTGGCTGTGAGTGTGTGTGCCACTGCACCGTGGCCTGGGTGAAGGAGTAAGACTCCAGCTCAAAAAAAAAAAAAACAAACTATTAGAACCCTGGGTGGGGGAGGGCGGCCGGGGGCAAAACTAGATAGAAGATCTGAATCCACACTACCCTTGTCACCAGAAATCCTAAGCCAAGAAAGTACAGTCTAGAAAATGAGACAGTTTTGCAGAGAAAAATACATGGCTGCCTTACAGTTGGTAACCTGTGGGGTGTGGGGTTCCTACAGAAACAGCTCCCAACCAGGCTCACCTTTTAAAAATTACAGATGACATAAAGAATTAAATGGCCATGAGTCAGCAGTACATGCCCCCCAAAAAAGGTCAGGATTCCCAAATTCTCTGAAAAATACTAAAATCAAGGCATTTAAATTATACAAGATTAAGGAACAGAGTCTACAAGGCAGGACTATCATGGAAAAAGGAAAAGTGGGTGTAGGAAAGAGCTCAAATGCAGTTCTAGGTATGAAAAATGTAGGCATTTTGAGTAAAAATTCAGTGGAGGGGCGAGTAGCAGATTAGATATAACTGAAGAGTAAAGCCAAGAATATTTCCCAGAATGTACCAGAGAAGGATGTAAAATAAGAGACCATGATAGAATGAGAAAATGATAGAATGAGAAAATCTAGATTATTTCTAATAGGAGCTCCAGAAGAAGAGACTAAAAAATATGAAAGAGAAACATTTAAAAATGAGCTTATAAACTGGGCTCAGTGGCTCAGCCTATAATCCCGCACCTTTGGGAGGCTGAGGTGAGTGGATTGCCTGAGCCCAAGGGTTCGAGACCCGCCTGGGCAGCGAGACCTCATCTCTACAATAAATCAAAAAAATCAGCTGGGCGTGGTAGTGCATGCCTGTAATTCCAGCTACTGGGAAGGCTGAGGCGGAAGGATCGCTGGAGCCCAGCAGATCGAGGCTGCGGTGGCCAGCAGCGGCCACTGCACTCCAGTCTGGGCGACAGAGTGAGACTCCAACTCAAAAAAAAAAAAAAAAATGGAAAACATTTCCAGAATTAAATTAGTCCTCAAAATGAAGTATATAAAACTCCGGAGTAAAACAAATTAAGATAAAACAAGTTAAATCCCAGATACATCAAAGTAAAACAGCAGAACACCAAGAACTAAGGAAAAAAATCTTTGTCATAAGACAAAGTACTGAGGGAAAGCCTTAAACAGATTTTTACCAGTTCACCTATCGCTTAAGCATGAATGCAAAATAATTCCAGGTAACAAAAACTTAAGAGAACTTGCTACTCAGATCCTGTCTAAAAATGACCCTCAAAAGAGTTATCACAAGAAAGCAAGCTAAACCATGAAGGCAAGAGTGAGATGGAGCAATGATGGGTAAGTTTGTAAAAAATTTGGGTAAATGTTCATTAGTATTAACTATAAAATTACCCTGTTTTTTAACCAATTGGAAGGACTGGCTATGGATGGGGTCAAAAAGGGTAGAAATAAAAATATTAGCCAAAAATGACATGAAAGATGGTTAGAGCAAGACTAGAGATACTAATTAACTTTTTGACTTCAGGTGTGCATATTAAAACATTTAAGTGAACCAAAAGAAAAGTTGATGTGCCAGGTGTGGTGATTCAAGCTTGTAATCCCAGCACTTTGGGAGCCGTGGCAAGGGATTGTCTGAGCTCAGGGGTTTGAGACCAGCCTGGGCAACTTGGTGAGACTTTGTACAATAAATAAAAAAATATAAGCTGGGCGTTAGTGCGTGCCTGTAGTTCCAGCTACATGGAAGTCTGAGGTGGAAGGATCGCCTGAGCCCAGCAGGCTACGATGGCCGTCAGAGTACCACTGCACTCCCACAGAATGAGACTCCAACTCTCTCTGTCTGTCTCTCTCTCACGCGCACGCACACACGTAGATGTAAAACTTAGATAAGATCTGGTTATCCTTTAAAGATTAAGCCTAACGCGCCAGACAGTCTTTTTAATTTATGTGAAGGATGATGCACCTTTTGTTTCTCTGCAGAGACATCTGAATGGGACAGACACATCCTTCTCTCTGGAAGACTTATTCCAGTTGCTTTCATCACAGCCTGAAAATTTACAAGAGGTAACTGGCACCTTGGCTTTTATCCTTGCCAGAACATGTCTGTACTGACTTCTGTGAATAAATATAACCATTTTTACTTGGTTGATATAGCATCTTAAAATAATACTTATGTGTCAAGTACATTAATATGTAAGTGCACAGACTCGTTTCCTTTTTATAGAAATGCTTCAGCTTTGGAGAATTAATGAACAAATATATATACCATTTTTCTTTCCAAATAATAATTCCCTCATCAAATTGAGATCATTCATTGAACACAGTATGGAGTTTTCTCAAAAAACTAAAAAGGAACTACCACATGATCCCATTCTCAGGTACTTGCTTAAAAAAAAATCCGTATATCCAAGGAATACCTGTACCCTCGTTTATTGCAGCACTATTCACAACAATATGTATGATATTGAGCTAACTGTCCATCTTCAGATGAAAAGATGTGATATATATACACATGGAATACTACTTAGCCACAAAAAAAACAAAAAAGAAATCCTGTCACTTGCAGCAACATGGATGGTCATCATGTTAAGGGAAATAAGTCAAACACAAAAAAGGCAAATTTCTCATGTTCTCACTCATCTCACTCATGTGAAAGCTAAAAAAGTTGACCTCATGGAAGTAGAGTAGAACAGTAAGGCTGGATGCAGTGGTTGGTTAAGCTTGTAATCCTAGCACTTCGGAAGGCCGAGTCGGGAGGATTGCTGGATCCCAGGAGTGCAAGACCAGCCTGGACAACAGAGTGAGACTTGTCTCTACCAGAACTCAAAAAAGTAGCTGGTGTGGTGGCATGTGCCTGAGGCTGAGTGGAAGGATAGCCTGAGCCCATGATCATGCCACTACTCCAGCCTAGGTAACAGTGAGACCCTGACTCAAAAAAAAAAGGAAAGTTACCAGAGGCTGCGAAGTGTTGAGGGGAGCAATTAAAGACAGGTTGGTTAACGGGTACAGACATACAGTAATATAGAAGGAATAAGTTGTAGTATTCAACAGCATAGTAGACTGGCTGTAGATGGCAATAGTTCACATTTCAAAAAAGCTAGATTTGAAATGTTTCCCACATAAATGGTAAATGTTCAAGGTGATAGATATCCCAAATAACCTAATTTGTATATTATACATTATATGTATACATGTATTAAGATAGCACATGTACCCCATAAATATGTACAATTATCTATCAATTAAAAAAATTTAGCCATTCACCTTGAAGCAAAATAGTGAGTGACCGTTGATAAAGCATAGTTGTTACTTTTCTGACAGCACAGGAGTCTTTTAAAGAACTTCCCCCCTCCAGACTACTTCACTGTAGCTTATTATTCCTGACTCTTCACAATGTGGACTTAGATTGCCAACAGGTAGGAAGAGTTGCGTCTTACTGCCTAGTAGTAAACTACAAGATTATAACAGAAGTATTTAATAACAAAATGAGGTCAGCTTTGTATACTAACCTAAATGAGGAAAGTTGTTAGGTAACATAACTGCCTCTGAAACGGGGTTATGCCATGTTTAATGCATTTTTTTTTTCTTGCTTTTTCAGGGCATCTCTCTGGGAGATATTCCTCCTCTTCCATGCAGTGTCAGTGACGGCATGAATTCTTTGGCACATTATAATGTAAATTTTAGCCAGGCTATAAGTCACGATGTAAATCTTCATGAGGCCATGTTGCTATGTCCCAACAATACTTCTAGAAGAGATTCAGCAGCAAGGACTTCACAGGCTCAAGAACCATTTCTGCAGTTAAATTCTTATACCACCAATCCTGAGCAAACCCTTCCTGGAACAAGTTTGACAGGATTTCTTCCACCTGTTGACAATCAAATGAGGAATCTAACAAGCCAAGATTTATTGTATGACCTTGATTTAAACATATTTGATGAGATAAACTTATTATCATTGGCCACAGAAGATTTTGATCTAGTGGAAGTTTCTCAGCTTTTTGAAGAACCAGATTCTGATTCTGGCCTTTCTTTAAATTCAAGTCACAATAGCACTTCTGTCACCAAGTCCAGTTCTTCTCACTGTATGTGTGATGAAGAAGGTGCCATAGGTTACAGTAGTGACCTTGACTCTTTTTCCCATTATGACTTAGAAGGGGCTGTAGGAGGCTACTACCCAGAACCCAGTAAGCTTCGTCACATAGATCATAGGAGTGATTCTGGATTCCACGGGGATCTTGCATTTCACGTATTTCATAACCACACTTACCACTTACAGTCAAGTGCACCAGAATCCACTTCTGAATCTTTTTCATGGCCTGAGAAGTCACAGATGAATAGGTACCTCGATGACACAGAAAGAAATTTGAGCCGTGATGAACGGCGGGCCAAAGCTCTGCATATCCCTTTTTCAGTAGATGAAATTGTCCGCATGCCTGTTGATTCTTTCAACAACATGTTAAGTAGGTACTATCTGACAGACCTACAAGTCTCGCTCATCCGTGATATTAGACGAAGAGGGAAAAATAAAGTTGCTGCTCAGAATTGTCGTAAACGCAAATTAGATATAATTTTGAACCTAGAAGATGATGTAAGCAACTTGCAAGCAAAGAAGGAAACCCTTAAGAAAGAGCGAGCCCAGTGTAACAAAGCTATTAACATAATGAAACAGAAATTGCATGACCTTTATCATGATGTTTTTAGTAGATTAAGAGATGACCAAGGTAGGCCAGTCAACCCAAACCAGTATGCTCTTCAGTGCAACCATGATGGAAGTGTTTTGATTGTACCCAAAGAGCTGGTCACCTCAGGCCACAAAAAGGAAACTCAAAAGGGAAAAAGAAAAAGTGAGAGAAGTTAAACATGGACTCCTTTATGTGGAAAGAGTAATGTTCAGAAACTGGTTGTTTGGATTACAGGTCATTGAGAACTGCTTCAAGTGTTACATCTTTAAGTACTGCTACTTGAATCACTCAGTCAAGGCTACGTTTTGAATCTTTATATGGACAAATGTTTAGGACTGCAAGACCACACTTGTGTGAAATTTGGGGAAGTCAGAACTTTTCATGGATTCCTCATACTCCATTGTATACAAGACTCATAATTATGTTCAAAATATAAGGTAACATGAAAACCTGATAGCACCTTGGCAGCCACTTTTTTTAGTAACATGATCACTTCAAAAAGAGCACCGGGGATCCAATTTTAAGGTGTATTTGTTTTTTTACTTAAAATAGAAAATAGCCTTATTTAGTTTGTTAGCACTGAATAGCTTTTTCAAAGGCTTTTAATCTTTGTAATTTATAAATTTTTCTGTGAAAATAAGTTTTGTATTTGAATTTATTTAAAAAATTAACTTCCCTTTTATGCAGAAATGCCAGTTTACCTATTTTTCCTCCAAAATATCCACATTCTGGAATATAAGTGAATTGAATACCTAGCAAATAGGGCAGCAGCAGTTATAATTTTTAGACAATTGGTCAGACTTAAGCCAAACAAGTCAGCATAGTATGCCAAACTAATGCAGCCAATCTTCCCTCAGACTTAACACAGAAGATGGCCTATGTGCCAAAAAATAAGAGCTTTAAAATATTAAGAGTACTTTCACAACTTTAATGCAAAGGGCCAAGAACCACAGCTGGTATAGTTTATGCCAGAGGTCTTCCTGTAACCAGACTGAATGGACACACCTGCATAGAGAAACACAACTTGCATGTATTGTGAAACCCATGGAATTCCTGACAGTGATAAAGCCGGGCTGTATGGTCTGTCTCACATCCTGGGACACTGAACTTTCCAACCCACCAGAACATTACAGCCATACAAAGAAAAACCAACAGGGGGAAAAAAATCGGGGGGCGAACACAGCATTTCACAAAGAAATGGGAATGCGAAACTATCTGAAAGTTACTTAAGTTTAAAATAGGCAAAATGAGAAACAAGGGCAAGACGAAAAAGAAAGATTACTTTATAAGTACTTTAAATTAAACTCCATGAATTTATTTGAACAGTAAACAAAATTTTGAGGTTAGCAAATGACCTCACCCCAACTGTCATGTTTGGACATTAGATTTTAATCTGTATACTAGACAGGGCATTGTGGCTTTTGCCTGTAATTCCAACGTTTGGGGAAGCAGAGGTGAGAGGACTGACTGCTTGAGTGTGGGGGTCAAACCAGCCTGGGCAATTTGGTGAGCCCTCATCTCTACAATGAGCCAAAAAAGTAGATGGATGTGATGGCAATGCACACCTGCAGTTCCAGCTACTTGGGAGGCTAAAGCAGAAGGATCCTGAGTCCAGCAGGTCAAAAGCCAGTGGCCATGAGCCCACCACTGCACTCCAGGCTGAAGACTGTCACCAAAAAAAAAAAAAGTGCATCTTTCGAAATTTTAGATTGTTCTCGGATATTGTCTCTGCTAGAGGACCTCATTGACTTAACACAGAACATCATGCTATAAAAAGTATTCTTGGGTTTCAGAAATGCAGTTTTTATATATAGTTTGGACTTTTATAATAAAATTTTCCATTTAAAGTTGGATTTAGATATTTATTTCAAGCCCTAAATCTTGCCAGAAAATGCTTCTAGGTACAAGTATCACCCACCCTTCAATTACAAGCTCTATTCAAAACAGGTTACTTTTTGTAGCACTTTGAAACTTTTGGTAGGCCTTTACAGTAAACCCTCTGCATCCGTGGAACCAACTGTGGATTAAACATATTAAGGAAATGCATGGCTGCATCTGTATTGAACATGCTTCTCCTTGTCATTATTCCCTAGGTTCCATCTTGTACTGGGCACAGGTAGAGATGAGTGACAGTATGTGCTTAGGTAATATGCGAATGCCACACCATTTTATACAAGACTTTAGCACCAGTAGGTTTTGGTATTGGGGAGCATTAAAAATCCTGAAACAAGAGTCTGTGAGAAACGAACTTTCTCAAACACACAACTTTGGTCGTTTCCCCATCACTGCCTCCTCTTACTCAAATAATTTGAGAGATTAAGTCTCACTATGCTGCCCAGGCTGGTCTGGAATTCCTGGTCCCCCTACAAAACCACCATCACTAGTTGCAGCACTAAATGGTGCAAGCTATTTATCATCTGGGCACCCAAGTTACAAAACGTACATATGGTAGGTTCAAGAACAAAGCCAAGTGTATACATGAGGTGTCGAGATTAGTGACCTGTTATCAAGTACGTACACCCAACTTTTCAACTACCATTAGCAATGAATTACAACTCTCCCCAAATTAGCTCCCAACACACAAGTTAAACAGATCAGCTAATTTCAAAACCAACTTAATCTGACCTGCCAAATTTGGCTACTGAAAACCTCACACACAGGAACCATCCACTTTAACACAAATGCATTATAACTTCCACAATAAAAGAACAGTACTCAAGTGTGGTAGACAACTTCAAAGGTAGTTCCCAATGATCCTTGCCCTCTTGGTAACTACACCTACTAAAGTAGAACCTTCCCACTGTGTGATAACTAGAACACAAAATGGTGTGGCTTATGATATGTGGTCGTAGGCAGCATTTTCCTTGCTTACTTGGAATCACTCACTCTGGAGGAAGGTTAACAGCCAAGCATTAGTTTTTCAGCCCTGCTGGTATGCTCCCTCGGCCGTGAATTCTCCAAACCTAGTAAAGGTTTGTGAGCACAACCTTAAGCTCCAGCCACAACCAGTTTCACTGATCCCAATATTTGACCCACAGATGCAGTTTGTTACTCAAATATTGAGGTAATGTGTTATATGGCAAGTGTTTAAACCTGAGATAAAATGTTAACACCTTATACAAGAGTGCATTTTTCTTCTAGCACAATGTATCGTTACATAAAAAATGTCCTTAATTTCTAAAAGAAAAACAGCTTAATACACAACTCATAGGAAAAATGCCTATGTTGAATTTTCAACATTACCTATCGTTTCGTTAAACCCTTATCTTCACAGGCTACTGTGCACTAATTTTTTCGTTTGTGACACCCTTACTGGAAAAGAATTGGTATTTTGAGTTTGTGTGTATTGAGTTGATTTACTTCTTCAAAGTTCAACTTATTTGTAGAGCCACCCTTTTTTTAAACCTTGAAAACTTTTTTCTTACTAAATTTGAAGTCAAGTACTCAGTTTATAGTCAGTGAATGCAACTAGGATTTCATGTGACAGTTTATAATACTTCCGTTAGCCATTAGGTTGACTTACCTGTTACACCCCATATTATCAGGACCAAAAGAAATAATGACAATCAATTAACTTTTGCCCTTGTTACTTTTATCCTTTCCTTGATTAATTCAGGTTAATGTCCAAGAAAATCCCTGTGAATTTTACCCAAAAAGATTAACTCTTAAAAGACAACCACTCACATTCATTTACTAAGTATAAAATGCAATAGAGCTAGTTAACATTTGACAAACTAGGTATGGCAGATTTTAGGCATCAGTGCTTTCCATAGCCAGTTAATCTGGACCACTCTAGATGGTTAATTTAAAATTCATGACTTCAAAATGCCACCAGTAATGTTAAACATACAAGGTAAAGCCAGCAAGCTGCAGCAGTATTCAAACGCTGAATATACAGTGCATAAATAGCATTTTATTAGGGACAGCCAGTAATGGCCACAATGCTCTTATTTGTCTATTAATACTGAAAGGAAATGGAAATATGCATAGCTTTGTGAAATTGCTTTAAAAATTTAGGGGATGGTGATATTCTAGACAACTGAATATCTGTAGAACAAGATTCACACATTTTATGTGTAAACATTACACGAAGTATTTGGATACAAAAGTATTTATTTTATAAACTTTGTATTTAAAATAGAATTTTAATCTGTCTACTCACAAAACCTAATTTAAAACATGATACATTTCTCTCTAGCCAATTTGATGTTACTGTTTTACAAACAACACTCATTTTTAAATTTAGATCAAGAACCTGAACTAATTGAAGATTGTTTTATCAGAAAACATTTCCCTTTTATCTTAGAGTGCTTTTAAAATGAAGGCACCAACAAGAACTACTTTCAGATGGTACAGAATTTCTTATTTCTTGAAGACTCTGTGGTTGACCACTTCTTCATTAGTTACCTGCAGCAAGACACCTTCCTGCCAAAGGAAAAAAAAAGTATCTGAAGAAGTTTATCATGTTTGTCCAAAGAACCTAAATAACTTCAGTGGTGGTCTTGGGATCAGAGAAGACTGACTGGTGCATATATAGTTGAATAAGCCCTGATTATCACATCACTGAAAAAGGCAATAAAGCCAGGCAAGCAAACTCATAATAAGAAACGAATTTCAACAGCCAACCACTCATCAGGGTAGGACACTGGGCAAAATTACCACATTTAAACCCATCTATGTAATACTGCATACATACAAGCTTTATCATGTAGACACTTTATTCATAAGCATAAACTATTCAATCATTTTGCCTTGCCTTCTTTCAGTCTCACCCTGATAAGCATGTAAAGCTAGAACCATAAATAGAGCAGATGTCTTTATTTTAATAAAAATGCCTAGTTCACTCACAATGTTCGACTCAAGATATGTGAATACAGGGTGTAATGATGGGAAATCTCATGATTTACTGAAGTTGCAGCCTAACTTTTACCTACCATTTTACTACCAACACCACTGAAGGAACCAAGAAAAGCTTTATTAATGATCACTTGGCTTGCCTCAGCTGTTGAAATGAAGCACTTTACAGTCTTTGTGGCAGCAGAATATACTTGTCCATGGCTCATATCAATGCTAAAATTCCAGCAGGGAAAAAAATGATATGTTAAGCACCTGAATCTTCATGGAGAGGGGAGGGGGGTGGGAAAGAAGGAAAAAAAAAGGGAAAAACAACCAAAATAATTTAAATGACAGATTGGAAAACAGGGTTTATAAAAATTATTCTCTTGAGTTTATGAATTGTTAAACTCAATTTATAGCTATGTTAAACTACATAAGAACCACTATACTCTGAAAGACCATTGAAGAGTATTAGTTTATCTTTTAGGGAGGAAAATTAAGAAAGGAAAAGTAAATAAGATCTTACCTAAAGAAGTTTAACTGAAGCTTAGAACTATTTTGCTCTACACCCTCAGCTTTCGTTGGCATCCTTATAAACTACTGTGGTTAAAGCTTTGTAGAAACAGCACAGTTTTTTAAGACTGGCTGAACTTAGTAGCCGTCAAGAGTTCTCTTGTACTAGACCTGTGTCCCTGAAGAGTACCTCGCTGGGGTTATTTCCTTTCCTTGCATTGAAGAAGCAGCATCTAAAAGATCTAAAAAGGTGTTTCTCCTTGCAGAGATATCCCTTAAGTTATCTACATAATTTAATCCTGATGAATTGCAGACAACACACTTATATCTGACCAGCATTTATCTTACACAAATATAACAACAGCTTTGCAACGAACCTTAATTATACTACCCACTCCTTAACTTATTTAAAATAAAAAGTCTATAATTACACAATTTCCTTTAGAATTATTTTATTAAATCATAAATGTACAACAGCTTCTTAACTCTACACACGCACTTAAATTTTTTTTAAAGGAAAAACGTTATGTCTTATTACACCATGATCCTGGCTAATAGCTTTTCAAAACTTTGAGAAAAATCTTAAAAAAGGTTTCACATGTCACCTGAAACTTACAAATTTAACATTATCAAAGAAGGAATGCTTCTACACTCTTACAAAGACCACTAGAAAGAAACAACAATTAAAAAGCTAAGAAACTGTCTCAAAGGCATTTTTTTTTTCTTTTTTTTTTTACAATCCTTCCTCCACAGTAAGGTAATGTTATTAAATAATCCAATCCATTCACAAAATGGCTCTCTGCATCTGCTCTGGTGTCTTCTGCCATATCACTGCATATTTATGCATGACTGAGATAAGAGTTTCCTTAACATTGTTATTTCGATAACCTGAAGCTGTTCTGTTACCTCTGGGCTCTCATCCTCTCCTATTTATACAGTGAAGCCTGTTTCAACAGAAGTAAAGAGTAAAAAAAAAATAGGTTATGAAATTATCCATCTAACCAGATTTTAAGGAAAGATAACATGATCCTAAAAAGCTTTTACTCCTGCAGCTAGGTCTCCCAAGACAATAATATTGTAAAACTCAAAAACTACTTACCCATGGCAAATAGGAAGAAGCTCAATATCGGCTCCTCCCACCATAACCCCCACTTCCTCCACTGCCTCCTGGACCATAGTTTCCTAGAATTGTTGGAACAGCAAGAGAAAGCAAACTTACTTTAATTTTCCATCATCAGCCCAATATAAGGTTTAGTATCTAACTTCCAGTGAACTCATCATAGCATTTTATACCATTTGCAATGTACTTGGCAATTTTGATGATCTTAAAAATATAACTAGCCAAGAACAAATAAAAAAGAACTGCCAGAAATGCTTTCTTCAGCACAAAAATATTTAAACCACAGAACATCCCACATCCACCATAATACCCCCAATCTTTTACAACTTGTTTGCTGAAATCCTTCTGATGATTTCTGCAAACTGCATTTCTAGAGAT